ATCAACTCAACCTTTCGATCCCTTTTCCCTTCCCTGGACTTGGGGACTGGGGCAGTAAGTTACAAAGCTCTTGAGCATGGGGTTGGTTTCCCTGGCAGCCAGCCCCAGCCCTAACTTCCCCCACCCTCCTGCAGTGGTTATCCATAGACTTTCAAAAGATTATTTTATTGATGTAAGCCACGTGGTTGAAAGGAGCTTGTTATAAATAACAAAAGACTGGCTTTCACCTTATAGCTCTGGAAGGTTCCAGAGCTCATTCAGGAACTAAATACAAAGGGCTAAATATTTTAACAAAGGAAACTCTATTGCCCTGTCACTTAGGAAATCACAAGGGTGACTGGAGCTGGAGTCAGAAACCATGAACGAAAACCAAATATATACTTTAATTCCTTCACAGCCCTTCCTCCACCCTTATCAAGAACCTCCCCTTGCTCCAAACTGTTGCTAAAGTAACCTGTCCCAGGAATTGTCTCTCCCTAGGAACTATAAGCTTAATATGTCCTTGGCTGCTCCCTCCTGCCCTTCCTCCTTCAGCCCCACCGGTTTCCCACCTTTTGGCCACCCCACCAGCATTCCAGGGCCTAGTCAAATGTCCAGCAGGAAGGAGAGAGATAAGGGGAAGAGAGCAGGAGAACAAAGGAAGCCTAGGACATATAAAAAGGTCAGAACCCTTGCTTCTTGGGATACCAGGATACCAGTTATGGCCCCCTCCCTTCTCCCTCCTGGAAGAAGTCTATGTTACCCCTTTTTCAATAAACCCTGCTTTAGGGGCTGGGGTTGTGGCTCAGTGGTAGGGCGCTCACCTTTAGGCTCTGGGTTTGATCCTTAGCACCACATAAAAATAAATAAATAAAATAAAGGTAAAAAATAAATATTTTTTAAATAAAAAATATTTATTTAAAAATAAATAAGCAAATAAACCCTGCTTTATATGCTTGCCTCAGCATGCTTCTCTAATGTTCAAACTTCCACCTTTGAGGGAGCAGAACTCATCTGGTAACCTGTGGTATTGTTACCGCTGTTTACCGGTGATGAGTCCTTGCTTCCCCAATGCTGAAGTATAACACCAGAGAAGCATGCCCAGGCAAGTTTAGAGTGGAAAGTAGAAGCTTTATTAAAGGACAGCAGAAAAGACTTCTCCCCGGAGGAAGAAGGGGACCCAAGAGGTGGAATCCTTGGAAGGGGAAGGTCTTCCCTTTTTTATAGCTAAGGTTTACTTTCAGATTTCCTGCATTCCTGCCATATGCATTCTTGTCCTTTGTTCTGTTATCTTGCAGTGCTGAAATATAGGTGGGAAGGTCCAAAAACTGAGAGATAGATAGGCCTGAGGAGTAATCTGGGCAGGAAGGGCTTTTGGATTAGCATCTCTTTGTTTGCTGGGAGCTGCTTCATTAATATTTCCTTGGGATGGGCTCCAGGCCTTGGGGACTTTTTCAATTCCCCTTTTCCTGGACTCCATTCTCAATATGGCCTTTATTCTTGATTTTACTTGATATTAGACCTGATTTACCTAACTACACTAACTACCTATCTGTAAATCTGGCTTCACCACCAAAGCTGCTTTGTAAACTTTAAAGTCACTGTAAATTCACCCACTTATGAAAATCACCAGGTGCACTGTTCATTAACCCAAGAGATAAATTAAGAGAGAATCAAGAATAGAGAGAACACTTTAAGAAACCTGTAACTGGCCCTGGTATCTTGTCTATGGCAAATGCTGGGCCAAACACAAACGGTTCCCAGTTTTTCATCTGCACTGCCAAGACTGAGTGGTTGGATGGCAAGCAGGTGGTCTTTGGGAAGGTGAAAGAGGGCTTGAACATTGTGGAAGCCATGGAACGCTTTGAGTCCAGGAATGGCAAGACCAGCAAGAAGATCACCATTTCCGACTGTGGACAACTCTAATAAATTTGACTTGTGTTTATCTTAACCACCATACCATTCCTGTAGCTCAGGAGAGCACCCCTCCACCCCATCTGCTTGCAATATCCCATAATCTTTGTGCTCCCGCTGCAGTTCTTTGGGTTCCATGTTTTCCTTATTCCCCTCCCAAGTCTAGCTGGATTGCAAAGTTAAGTTTATGATTATGAATAAAAACTAAATGACAAAAAAAAAAAGAAAGAAAACTGTAACTGGGGCTGGGTTTGTGGCTCAGCAGTGAGTGTCCATCTAGCACTTTCCCGCATTTCTGTCCTTTGTTCTGTTATCTTGCAGCGATAGAATGTAGGTAGGATATTCCATACCGGATGTACCTAACTACAATAACTATCTATCTTTAAATCTGGCTTCAGTGCTGGGGATCAAACTGTCCTTTGTTCTGTAATCCACTGTCCTTTGTTCTGTTATCCACCCACATTCTATCACTGCAAGATAACAGAACAAAGGACAGTTCCATCCCCAGCACTGAAGCCAGATTTAAAGACTAGTAGTTATTGTAGTTAGGTACATCCTGTCTAATATCCAGTGGTGTGAAGATGGAACCCATCCCAAGGAAATGTTAATAAAGCAGCTCCCAGCAAAGAGATGCTAATCCAAAAACTATGCTAAACAAAGAGATGCTGATCCAAAAGCCCTTCTTGCCCAGATTATTTCTTTGGGCCCCTGTCCCCCACCCTTTGGGCCTTCCCACCTACATTTTATCACTGCAAAATCAGAAGTCTTTTCTGCTGTCCTTTAATAAAGCTTTTACTTTCCACTCTAAACTTGCCTAGGCATGTTCCTCTGGTGTTATACTTCAGCATTGGGGAAGCAAGGACCTGTCACCGGCAAACAGCAGTAACAGCAACACATTTAAAAAATAATAATAATAATTAATTAAAGATATTGTATCCAACTACAACTAAAAAATATTTTTAAAAAAGAAACCTATAACTGAGGGAGCTTTCCAACATTATTTATCAATCCAAGAATGGAAAGCACAACAGCTTAAGGATCCTGAGAATGACCAGACAGACATCAGCCTCACAAATCTACCCCTCCCCAGTTCCCTTTAAAAGAGAAGCCAGGAATCTCAAAAGCAATTTTCTCACTTTCAAGATGGCTCTCATTCTCCCTTGAATATCTATTTCCTTTTTTTCCTAAATAAATTTGTCTGTGCCACTAGTGACAGGTGCTGAAATTCTTTTCCATCAAAGTCCCTTCTGGTCCACAGTCAAGGTCCGCCTGTCTGGGAATTCCACCAGTGACATCTCCACCAAATTCCTGTTGTAATAAGGACTTAGACTCTTCATATATACTTATGATGGGGGCTAAAAGATGATTAAAGATTTGGCATCTCTGCCTCCATTTTGCATCAGTCTCCTTTGCTCTGAATCACTTTGGATTCCAGGAATGAGATCTGATCTGATAAACATCTTGTGATAAGTCAGACACAGGCAACAGCAACTTTCTTATCTGGGACCCAGTCTGACCAATTCTGAAATGGTGGACAGATCACACCTGATCAAGATTACCTACTCAGGCAGTTGTAAAAAGGCTTCAGTTGTGCAAATCCTTGCCCTCCTTCCTTTTCCTATAAAACTACAAGGTCCGCCTCTGTTCCTCAAAGACAGAATTAAAAACTTGGGTCCCTTTGTCTTCCTGGTGTAGCTATCTCAGGAAGTTCCTTTCATGCTTTTCACCATTACCATTTCTGTTTGATTTGGGGGGTGAGTAGCTATGTTATCAAAAGCTGGGTCCTTGCCCCCTGAATGCCAATCAAATAACTAGGACACGGTTTTAAGAAAAAGGAAAATGATTTATTGTTTTGCTGGCAAAGGAGAAATATGAGGTGGAGGGGGGGGGACCTCCTGTCCCAAAGGCTGTGATTCTGCCCATTAGCAAGAATAGGGGGCTTCTTGATCCAGAGAAAATGAGATTAGGAAGGAGAAGGTCAGGAAGATTAGGGAAAAGAAGATCAAGAAGGATGTTAGGGAAAAGAAGATCAGGGAGAAGATTGGGAAAAAGAAAAAAAGCGACAAGGAATACAGTCAAAACATCAAATGAACCTCTGTTACAGCTGGCTCTGATTTATTAGATCCCCAGAATCAGGCCTCTGGCCTAGGACTCTGGTAACACTATTAGGGTATGGTTAGCAATACCCATGAATTTGTGTACTTTGTATCTTTCTTGTCTCCTCAACAGGATCTTAATTCTTCATGGAAAGGAATAGTATTATGTTTACCATTCTAACAGTATAAAAGGCACATAACAGGAAAAGAACATTTCAAAAATACCTATGTAGTCTGGATATTAAAGAGTTATTAATGAAGGGTTTTGTTGTTTTGGGTACTGTAGCGTGAACTCGGTAACGGAGTGCTTCACCACTGACCTACATAGCCAGATGTTCTCTCTTTTTTGAGACAGTCTCTCCAAATTGCTGAGGCTGGCAATCCTCCTGCCCCAGGCTCCCTTGAGATTGCAGGAGTGCTGCTGCACGGCCCAGCCTAACAACGTACTCTTTCTAGAACAGTGGTTCTCAAAATGTGGTCCTCAAACAAGGGCCTCAGCATCACCTGGTAAGCTTATTAAACGTGCAAAATTCCAGGATTCCCCAAACCAGAACTAGAGAACAGAAACTCGAAAGCCCCTGAATTACTTTTTAACCAGCCCCAGGGCTGAAAATAATGCACCTAAAAGTTGGAAAACAGGGGTATCAGTCCTTTTCAGTTTTGGTTTATGATCATGTACTGCGTTAGATAAACACTAGGATCTATCTCCTTTTTAACTACGTTGTAGGTAAAATACGTTTTTTACGGACCTTGTTTCTACTCAAGGTTACATTTTAAAAGATGGGAAAAGGCAGACTCCCGCTTCCGCATTAGCCCAGCCTGTCATTACTGTAGACGCAGGTTTACCAGCAGAGCGAGCACTGGCCTCCGACTGGCGGGGAATTCAATGTCCAGAGACTGGAGCAGGAACCGACCAATCAGAAGCCAGGTTCGAGTTGCTCGCCCATCCCGGCGGTGTGATTGGGTGGTTTCTCGCCGACGGAAGAGACCCGCCTTGGTCATGCTCCATGCCCTCTAGCGCGAGCCAATCGTTGCTAGCCGCTCGAAGAGGCTCGACCCGCGCGAGCGACACAACATGGCGGAGTCCGCTTCCTCAGCGGCTCCGAGCCCGCGGGGCTGTGCGGACGGGGAGGATGAAGAGTCCTCCCATCGAGAAGGGATGGAGAGGGCCAGAGAGGAACTAGAACAGTTTGAGTACCAGGAACTGACCGACTGTCAGATGCAGTTGGGGGCCCCTGAGGAAGAGGGGGGGGAGGCGGAGGAGGAGGAGGAGGAAGAAGAAGAGGGGGAAGACGCGGACCTGGTGGCGGAGGCCGAGGCAGTGGCTGCTGGCTGGATGCTCGATTTCCTCTGCCTTTCTCTTTGCCGGGCCTTCCGCGACGGCCGCTCGGAGGACTTCCACCGGACCCGCGACAGCGCCGAAGGTGAGGGGCGGGTGGCTGCGCGGGGACGGATGGCAGAGGCTGGGTTTATAGCGGGGTCGCGAGCAGGGCTCTTGCGGCGGTTCGGCGGAGGCTCGGCTGAACGAACCTCTGTTCGAATCCCGGTTCCGCCTCTTCTCATCAAGCTTCTGTTTTGCACTTCGGAAAAATGAACTAAGACCCGCGGCTAGGGCTGATTAAAAAAACTGAGTTGAATTGAATAAGATTGCACCCCACCCACAGCCCAATTCCTCTTCTCCTTTGCCTATATTTGTTGCTCTTCTGCTTAGGTATTCCTGTAGTAATGTTAATTTGTGAATTATTTAAGTCTCATTTGGCCTACTTGCTGACTGTAGCCCCTGGAGTAAAAATAACTATGAAATCTATTGTCTAGCTAGTCTTTAAGTGATGGGAAAAGGTAAGACCCATTTTGAAGGGCAACGAAATGATATCCCGGGACTTAATTTAGCGTTGCCATTGAATTAATTGTGTATCTATAATATGGCTAGTATTTAATAACAAGATTCTCAGCAAGCCATATCGATGCATCTTCCCGAGGAGGCATATAATCTTATAGAAGACTGAATTAGTTAACCGAAGGTACTGGTAGGTTAAAAGGGGTGTTCTGAACCCATGCTTTAATGTTCCAATTCAAGGACCTTTCTTCTAAGTGTCCACACGTGGATACACTGGAGCCATAATTACCATTAATTAGAAAATTGAATCCTAGAATGAAGTCATTTAGTAATAATTAGAATTATTAAAAAGTTGTCTTTGGGGCTGGGGTTATAGCTCAGTTGGTAGAATGCTTATCTCACATGCACAAGATCCCCAGCTGGATCCCCAGCACCACCAAAAAAAAAAAAAAAAGGAAAAAAAATAAAAAGGTTGTCTTTGGGCAGGAGGATTGAAAGTTCAAGGCTAAAACTTAACAAGACCTTGTCTCAAAATAGAAATTTTAAAAAGGCCATGGATGCTGCTAAACATCCTATAGGGCACAGGAGATATCCCCAACCCCATTCTCCAACAAAGAATTACATGGTCCAAAATGTCAAGTGTTTCCATTTTAGGTTATTGGAGATAAGGGGCATCTGGTCTATGCCTGTAATCCCAGCAACTTGGGAGGCTGTGGCAGCCTCAGGAGTTTAGCAAGGCCCTGTCTCAAAATTTTAAAAAGGGAGCTGGGGATATAGCTCAGTGATAAAGCACCCCTGGATTCAATCCCTGCTACAAAAAGAAAAAAAAAAAAAGAGGCAGTAGCAACACTATTCTTTTGGTTTCTCAGTTTTTTCATCTGTAAAATTTTGGTAACAATAGTGTCAAGGACTATTAAGCAAATGAATTGATATGTGTAAAGGAAGGTTTCTGAATGACAACTCTTGAAGTTTTGGACTATGTAATTCTTTGTTGGAGGATGAGGTTGGTGATATCTCCTATGCCAGGATGTTTAGCAGCATCTGTGACTTTGACCTACTAGAGCCAGTCCTTGTATTATGAGACAGGGTCTTACTAGATTGCCCAAACTAACCTTTAACTTTCCATCATTCTGCCTCAGCCTCCAGCTTACCTGGGATTACAGGCATGTGCCTCCTCCCCCACTGTTTTTTGTATACTTGATGATAACCCTTCTGACTGAGGTAATATAGAAGGAATTCTTTTTGGCTTTGTTTTGCAGTGCTGGACCTCAGACTCAGGGGCTCCTGCATACCAGACAAGCATTCTACCACTAAGCTTTCGTTAATATAGAGTTTTGCTTTTGATTTTATTTTTTATTTTTTATTTTTTGGTACTAGGGATTGAAGCCAGGGGTGCTTTACCACTAAACTGCTTTCCAACCACTTTTTTTTTTTTTTTAAAAGACAGAGTCTCATTAAATTAGTGAGGCTGGCCTAGAACTTGTCATCTTTCTTCCTTAGCCTCCCAAGTTGCTGGGGTTACAGGTGTGCACCAACACTCCTGACAAATGCTGCTTGATGAAAGTAGTTTTAAGTGTTTATTATTCTGCATATTAGTCAGTTATATTTTGCAAGAAAAACATTAAAAGTTGACTTAAGTAAAACATACACCTCTAAATTTCTGCTAATTTTTTTTGGGGGGGGTGGGTACCAGGGATTGAACTTGGGGGCATTCAACCACTGAGCCACATCTCCAGCCTAACTTTGTATTTTATTAAGAGACAGGGTCTCTCTGACTTGCTTAGTGCCTCAGGGTTGCTGAGGCAAGCTTTGAACTTGTTACCCTCCTGCCTCAGCCTCCTGAGCCACTGGGATTACAGGCATGTACCACCACTCCCAGCTCTGCGAATTTTTACAAGATATTTGTAACCTATTAACAAACCACATAGTGGCACTGCTGGATTGTTTGTTTTTAATAAAATTCATTTTTTTCTTTTCTAGCCATAATTCATGGATTATCCAGTCTTACAACTTATCAATTGAAAACTGTATACATATGTCAGTTTTTGACAAGAATTGCAGCAGGAAAATCCCTTGGTAAATATGTTTTTATCTTATAGTAGAAGTATTTTGATTTATGTCTAAATATAAGAGAATGAGAAGAAACAGATGGGAGTTATCTTCCCCCTTTTATTTAAGTTTACCTACAGGTATACAGCATATAAACACATACACACACATATATTTTCACGTAAGTATATCTAAAGCAAGTAAAAGTATATTCTCTGTCTTCTTAACACAGTGGTTTTCAAACTTTAGCCTGCTTCAGAATTGCTTATAGTACTTTTTAAAAAACATAAGAGTGCTGAGTCCTTCTGCCCCTCATGAGTTTCAGATTCTGTAGGATGGGTGTGGAGCCTTGGAATTTGCATTTCTAATAAATTCCCAGATAATTTTGGTGTTGCAGTGGAAGGATTATGCCTTATCGATTCTTGGGGATTTCACTTTAAATTTTATACACAATAACTTTGTAATGATGCCTGTCATATACACACTGTTTTTACTGGCAACTATGATATTTGAAACCTTTAACAAACTTGATGTTAGTACTTGTTTATTATAAGGAAACGTGGTTTACATTTAATTTCCTTTGAAGTTCAATTAAGATTGGAATAGGGAGGTTTAGTGCAGTTTTATCAATAATGACTATTTACAACATGGTCATTTAAATGACTGTTTTGTGCAAATAATTACATACTTATGTTGGGTTTTTACCACTTATAAAAATGCTTTCTCTTCCATTCTGGGTGGTGGGCAGTACTTACATGCACTGCTTACTTAAACATGTATTACATAAAATTACAGAGGATTACCACATGAATCCAGCTCTTGCTCATGTATCCTGCTTTGTTTGGCACCTGAGGTTAGATCTGGAGTTGATGCTGAAGCACAAGTGGAAGAACTAGAGGTAGAGTAGATGTGGAAGAGAAAGGATGAAGATAGGACCTGTTACTGAGGAAAACAAACTGATGTGGACACAATTAGAAATTTTCAGACCACAAGTTAACATTGCTATTCAGAGTTGTTTGGAAAATTAAATGTGAGAAAATATACTAAAGTGTCCAGAAGTTCTTTACATATAGCATTTGTTCAAGATATCTTAGTTTCTTCTCAGAAACCTGCCAGCAAAAAAGGAAGGGAGATCCAGATATTATGTGTGACACAGAGCTAGGGATATAGCTCAGTTGATAGAGTGCTTGCCTCACATGCACAAGGCTGCCCTGGGTTCAATCCCTAGCACCACCAAAAAAAAAAAAAGTAGTAGAGTGCCTCTGGATCCCCAGTAGCCCCCCCTCGCCCCCAAAAAAAGAAAAAAAATACTAGCATTATTTAGAAATTAAGCTATAGTTGCTGTCTTGATATCTTCATGCTGATCTTCCTAAACTTGGTCCTCATTCAGGCCTCTTAAGTTAGTAAATATCAGCACATTTATCCATTAATTTTTTTTAAATATATATTTTTAGTTGTAGTTGGACACAATACCTTTTTTTTTTTAAAGAGAGAGTGAGAAAGAGAATTTTTTAATATTTATTTTTTAGTTATCGGCATACACAACATCTTTGTTTGTATGTGGTGCCGAGGATCGAACCCGGGCCGCATGCATGCCAGGCGAGCACGCTACCGCTTGAGCCACATCCCCAGCCCTTATCCATTAATTAAAACCTGAGAGGCCTTCCTCTGTTGATTTTTTTTCATTCTGCATATCTAATCCATTAGTCAAGTCTTGTTCTATTTTCAAAATAAGTTCCAAATTGGACAACTGCTTGCCTTTTCCATTATTCTGATCTTAGGTAGGTGACTCTTCCTTTTCCTTTTTTGGTACTGAGGATTGAACCCAGGGGTGCTTTACCAGTGGGCTATATCTTCAATCCTTTTTTATTCTGAGATAGGATTTCATCAAATTGCCAAGATTGGCCTCAAATTTGTAATCTTCCTGCCTCAGCCTCCTATATCCCTGGGATTAAGGCATATATAACTGCATCCAGCCAAAAGGAATTCATTATTGTAGTAAAGAAAAGTTTCAGTTGTTTTATAATTTTATCAGAATTTTTTCAGTTTTAAAATCTTAGCAAATTAACTTAGAAAATCACTTCCCTAAATTGGTGTGTGTGAGAACAGTGCCTGGCACATAATATATACTCATATAAATATATAATATATACTCAAATATTTACAAGCAATGCATCTTTAAAAATCTGACAAAGTAAGGTTCTACTTAAGTCTTCTAAATTACTTATTTTTCTTCTGTTTTTCTAAAAGACGCACAGTTTGAAAATGATGAGCGAATTACACCCTTGGAATCAGCCCTGATGATTTGGGCTTCAATTGAAAAAGAACATGACAAACTTCATGAAGAAATAGAGAATTTAATTAAAATTCAGGTATGACTATTACTTTGTACTTACAGTTGTTATTGTGAAAGAAAATGAAAGCATATGATATCTAAAATAAACAATTGGTTTGGGGTTTAGCTTAGTGGTAGAGCAT